AGGAAAGTAGTTCCACATAGCGAGAAACTTACAACTTGGCCTGGCCGATGTTTGTGCTAAATTCCCTATCATATTCGTTCCACATCAGCGATGCACTACATTAAGACAGACTGAGTGTTAGAGAAACAGATGGACAGCAAGATAAATTGAAACCAAAATACGCGTTAGATGTGTTTCTTTCCAGACGTGTTGAACTCTAAGAAGGTAACAAAGGTTAATGAATTTTCTCGATTGCAGTGACTTGAGTTAACCATCATAAAGACTTGAAGAGAAATCTGGCAGCCCTTGAGTGTCTGATTCCTTCCTAAGTTTTAATTGAGCTCTGATGAAAATGCAGAAAGTAATAGCTCATTTTTCTAAAAGTTTGACAAGCTCAGGGTGATTACTGCCACTCTTCACGGGGACTGGGAAGTGTTCTGTAGGAAGGAAAACTGCAAAGAACAGAAGGTGCTTCCAGCACGTGCATCCCCCATCAGCTTCTCTTCACCATCATGGTGGCACCTCGGTCCTTCAGTGCTGCTTGAGTTCTGGGAGCTTCCACAGTCATCTGCGCTGATTATTGAAGGTTGGTCGAGAGGAAAAGGATTGAAGGGGCCAGACTTGTTCCGTCCGTGTTAGCGTGTTAAGCCTTTAAATGAAGAGGATGTGCCTGGTTAGACCGAACTGTTGATGGACAGTTTACAAATTGCTGATGTTTGCAACACTTTTTTCTCTCCATAACCCTAATTCTCACATACACATATAAGCAGCTTTGTACACATGTGTACTTCTGTACGTTCCTATCAGTCATTTGTTTTTAATTTAAATCAGTTATATGCTCACCACCAGAATGTTTAGTGTAATTGCTCCCTAAGATTTCATCAAAAAATCTAAGATTTTTTTCCCAAGGCCACATGGTTGTCATATTCACTATGTTTTTGCATGCTTTGGGTATCACTCTGTGTTCCCTTGTTTATGACAGATAGCTTACTGGGCATAAAATTCTCCTTTCCCTCCCAAAACCTTCTATACATTGTTCTATTGTCTTATGTCATTACGTTTGCTTTTCTATACAGCTTCTTCAGTCATCTCGTGGTTGCATGAATTTTATCTTTTAAGTACTTTTATTTTTTATCTTGAGTGGTTTGGGTTCTGTAGTTGATGAATTCTCCTGTGCTTGAGTTTTGTGATAGTATTCTAGGGTCATCTTTCTCCTCAAACTGTATTAGTTTTTCTTAGTCTATAGTGTGCTTTCGCATATACACATTCAATTCTTCCTTCTAATTCAAGGGACTTCCTGAATGCCTATCTGTGTATATGTGAATTTTCTTTTCTTTGTTTCTTTCATAGGTGATCTTCTTTTTATCTCCTTTATGAAATGTTGTGATGATTATCTCAAGTCTTTTATCTGTGTCAGTGATTTGCTGTTGAGATATGTTTATCTAGCTCATTATTTCTAAATTTAAATTTATTTTAAATGGATTTATTGTTGTTGAAAACTGAATTCTGTTGTCTTTGAGTTCTTCCATTCATGTTTTTAAGTTCTCCTATAACTTTAATGATTTTTGAGTTGAGGTGTATCCCCCCCTCATCTTGGGAATGATGGGGCACACTCAAACTCCAACCATTAAGCCATCCAGACCAGTATCTCTGCAAACATGGTTTGCAAATGTGCTGCCTATTGGAGGACTCAGTTCCAATCTCAATCCATCTCTCCCTAGGGTTTCTTGAGTGTCTTTCCATGGAGAACATTTTCTATTTATCTCTTAGTTTTCTGAATATCCTCTTTGGTAATCTGCACCTCAAAGGGATACCAGATGCTTACACATGAGAGCTAATTACTTCCTTTGTTTCTGGAGGATTCGCCAATATGTATTTGCACCTTAGAAGGGCAGTATGTATAGTTACCTAGCCCATACTCACTCCTTCTGAATGAGGGACCATGAAGTCTTCCCTCCTATGTTACAGACAGCTCTTCAGCTGGTCTTCATTAATCAAGGTCTGGTGATTGACTCAGAGTCCTCATTGACATTCAACAGTACCCCGGTGGATATTGGCTACCTACTTTTACATCCTCCATGATTTACTACCTTCTGATTATCATTAATGCCTACACACTACAAGAGCTCAACCAAAGTAGTAGTTCAAGGTGAAGAGGAACATTATTTCACGTTTTCCCACAAGTAAAGATCGCACTGGAAAATCCCAAGAACTTTTAATGTTTACTTGTATGGAAGATACTGGGGATCTTGAATTTTCTTTTTTTTTAAAGATTTATTTTATTTATTTGTGCATACAGAACTGGGGTACAGGCCAGAGGCTCAGGGGGTGGTGAGAGGCTTCACCAGAAACAGAGTGGGGGAGCAGAACAGGCCGAATGTCGAAGTACACTGCTGAGGGGAGCAGCGGGCGGGTCAGGAGAGGTCTGCCACACCATGTGGTCACCTCCGGTGCAGGCGGGAATCGAACTCATGTAGAAGCGGCTTTAGATTCTCAGTACTGCGCTTTAACCCACTGCGCCACCAGAGAGGGCCGGGATCTTGAATTTTAACAGATTCAGATGATGATGGCATTATTGGTGATAAATACCATCATTAAGATGTTCTTAGAATACTAGGGTTTTTCTTCTTGGGTTCATTTTTCATCCAATGAAGACAACTTTGCCAGAAGCTGCTAACAGTGAGGAAATCTAGGCAAAGACCAGATAGGACTCGTGAAATCTAGAAAGTTAGTCAAGCAACACTGGACCAAGCAGACCAGCCTGAACTTTTAAAGCCTTTCACTTTAGAAGGTTCCAGAAACTTTGAGATTTGTTCACTAACTGGCATCACTGAGCAACATGTCCGGGCAAAATAAACACAATAATTTATGAGCTCGATCTTGAAATTCCATCATATATCTATTTTACTTCTCCTGATTTTGAAAAATGCATAGATTACATTGTGAACATGGGCAGGGTCATTGATTGTTCTACCAGAATCTTCAGCTGACTTAGAGAAGTCACTATGGAAATACCTCCCTCCGAGAACCAGGAGCCAGGGAGTGCCGTAGTCCACAATCTTACAGCAAAGTTCTGGCCTTGCGTCATTTCTTGCGGGAAAACATCTATAATTCTTCTGTCTTAATTATTGGCCTTTTCTTTAGACCACTATATATTATTTTGATTACTATCAATTTAAATCACACTCGTTCTCCTAATTTTTCTGAGACTTTTGAAAAACTCTCAGTAGATTTTTCCATCTCCTTCTATTTCCTCTACTGGATTATATATTTAAATAACTTTAACAAAAATTGACAATATTGTTATAATAAAGCATAATAGTATAACACTAGATAGAAACCATAATTTACCTGGACCTAAAAATATTCTAACTCAATAATCCATGCAATTGACTGCCTGAAAAAAAATGATTTAGCATGAATAATACCAGTAACATTTTAAAATCTCTCTTTTGGGGGGTTAATTTCGCAATTGTGTGATCACAGACAAAAACAAGCACATTTGTTTTGAATAATCAAAGAGCTTCTTTTATACTTCTTATATGAAGAGAAAATATTTAATATGGTAGAGTGTATGAGGAGAAAGTAATATTTTCTATTGCCAATAATAGAGTAATTTGGAAGAAAGATTCCTAAATTTTAAGTAAGCACAAACTCCCTAGAATGCATGTATCTACGTCCTCAGATGCAAAATACATTTTTATGTTATTTTTATTATTATTTTGTTGTGACAGATGTTTATATTCAGGAATTACTATACTTCCTTCTAAATGATATAATAAATCTATGTGATTAGAAATTTATTGTTGATTTTCCAACTCCCTAAAATCACAGTAAGGAAATATTTTGAAATCCACGTTTAAAAACAAATTTTTGTGGGTGTTGAGTCTTAGTTTGCAATTAGTTAGGGTAGGGATTTCAACCTCAAAAGAAATAACTTGAAATTTAGTGCAGCATGCCTGCCTGGAGAAATGAATGCTATAGCTTTAAGATAAGGTAGCCTGGTGATTCATTGCAGGAAACAAGATCGATTTGGAGCAGGCTCCTACTGTTAGCTTTTTTGAAGATGGATTCTCACGCTGCAAATAACACAACATATTCTAGATAACAGCAGTTTTTTCCCCTGAAATCCACCAAAACTGAAGAAAAATCCAAGTGACTGTTCTTAGCAGCTGTGTGGCCTGGAGTTCACTGGGGAAGCTGGCTTCCTGCAGTCCCCTATTCATCACCTGCTTCAAAGACAGCCTGGCTGGCTATAGTTTGCAGGCCAGGTAGGGTGCCATTGTGCACAGTCTGGGAGGATTAGTATCAAAGCTGCGGCAACCAGGCCCTTGGTCTCCGGCTGCCATTCAGTCTAGCTGGGAGAGGCTAAGACTGGCCAAGGTCACAGTCTCCAGTGTGGAGTGGACTGGGAAAGGATCCTGAGAATTGAATGCTTTTTATGAAATCATGGCGCAAGCTTGCAGCACAGCAGGTGCCTTCTGGAACACATAACATCTGTTTATGTTGGTGTACCGTAGCCGACAACGAGATAATAGAGCTTTGAAATTTATCATTTTATTTTAGAGAAGACAACTGTATATACAATAATCCAGATGCGTATTTGGCTGCGATCTTTTATTTGAAAACTGACCGATATAATTGCTGCTTTTTTCCATGTATATATTTAAGCAAAAAGCAAACGTACTGACTATTAACCATTTATGACCAGGGCTGATCGTGATACCCAAATTCTTGGGGGGGGGGGATAACAAGCATTCAACACATTTTTTTTTTCAATGTTCAGGCATTTGTACCAACAGATTGCAGCAGGATTTATTGAATATGCCCAACTGAATTGAATATTAAGAGGTTAGGTTTAAAATCCCCCCCAAAATGAGAGTATTTCAAAGGTGAGGTAATAATGACGCAAAAATAAAATTTTCAACTTGGACAAATTAGAGAAAAATTAAGCTGTCCATGAGTTGTCATGACGACAAGGATGTTCTGTTGATGAACTGTCCTCCTCATTGTCCAATCAGATAGTAGAGCTGAAGCTGGAGCACGAACAGGAGAAGACGCACCTATTACAGCAGCATAACGCAGAGAAGGATAGCCTAGTCCGAGACCATGAACGGGAAATCGAAAACCTGGAAAAACAGCTCCGCGCTGCCAATATGGAGCACGAAAAGCAAATTCAAGAGTTCAAGAAACGAGACTCACAGGTAATTATCAATAATATTTCATAAAACGGGTACCTATTTTTTAAAAGTCATCAGCGTTGAATGTTTTCTTATTATTCTTGTTGATGCTCGCTGTTTGATCATTTGCAAAACTGACATAAAAATGTGATTTTTTTTTGTTTTGTTTTCTTCTCCTCCTTTCCAGGTTCCCCCCTCCCACTGCCCCCCACCCCTTTTGGGGATGAATAAGGCTTTAACTACAGAAACCACAGGTAGCCAGATTAAAAATCTCATGGCGCGCTATAACTTGGCCCCTTTTTTATAATCTTGTCTCAGTTCCTTTCATGATGGATTTTTTAAGGTATCTGCCCCTTACCCCTCCCCTCAGCCTTAGCAAATCACTATGAAATATAGAAGCCTCAGTCCTTGCTTTTTGTTTTAATCTCTGTAGGTAATCAAGCAGCTGTTTTAATATTTGCTTTTCCTTCCTAGTGTGGCTTTTGTCCCCCATTAGACTCGATATTTGATTAGATCCCTCACATGGTAATGGATAAAAATGACTCCAGAGAAGGCTATTTCCCATCAGTCTGTTGCTTTTTCCTACATGCACACACACATGCCTCTTAGCCTCCATCTCTGTAGTCCCTGTTGGAGGCCATTTGGCAGAATAACCCCCAGCTGTGGTAGCATTTGACTCTTCAAACTTATGGATGAAATGTGCACTGTCAGCATGGAAAATTATCTTTATAAATTTCAGATGAAAAAAAATCTTATTGGGTGTGTGTCTTTGTGGTGCAATACATTCTTTAGGGTATATATAATCAAAGGCCTTTAGTGTGTCCTCTTGGGAAGATTGCTGTGAAATTCTACTAAAGAAAATTGAAGAGCAATTGATAATAATAAAAAAAGATAATTTTCTTTTCTAATAAAACCATATCATATTTTGATTGGGCCTAAATACTTCTTTTCCCATTGACATCTAACCACTTTTGCCACACCATACCTAAGCTTCTCCCTAGCTATCCTTTTCCAAATAATATAATTTCCAAATAATAAAATAAAGCTGTAATAATATGTATTTAAGCAGTTTTATGATGACCAAAACATAGGAATACTTCTGATTAAATAAGATCTTAATTCTTGAGTGGAGGGCGGGAGGCGGTTAGGTAAAGAATGGGAGTTATTGGTAATTTTTCATTTGACCTTGAGTTGCCTTTTACCTTTGGAGAATGGTTAGAACAATTTTAAAATCCTCAACATGGGTTTTTTTCGTCACAAATATCCACTTATAGAATTCTTTTCAATTTTTGTTTTATGCTTAGTTTTTGCTAACTAAGCAGGTAGGCATTGTAGTACCCAGGGACCAGGGACCAGACAGCCAGGTGGCTCCTATCAAGTCAATGTATTTTGTGCTTTTGCTTCCAACCTCACTAAACCCTTTTTAAAATAGAACCTGATCTTTTGGCTATTAACCATATAATTTATTAAAGTTTTTTTTCATACTTAACATGCCCCTTCATATATGGTGTGCATTCTTAGCATTGTCTTCTATGGTAAGATATTTGGGTTCTGAGTCAGTGTAGAGTCTGTTTGCATAATAAAATTGAAAAACTGCAATAAAAAACATTCATTTATGTAACTATCTGCTATGTTGGTGCCACTGTGGAAAATCAGCCCTAGTGAAAACCAAATTTAGAGGAAATCTTTGTGATTTGGCATATGTCGTATCTGCCATATGTAGGGTGCGGTTCATCGAATGATTGAAAAATGGAAATTGTAGAATAATTGTGTATAATTAAGCCACAGACTTAGTAGAACAGAATTATTAATTGAATTTCTTCTAATTGAAATATTAAGAACGAGGCCCTATGATCTCTTTAAATGCTGTTGCATAGGATTATATTTCTCCTATTTTGTCATCCTTGGAACAGTTCTAATTGTTGTCACAGGATAACTAGTTAGCAATATAATCATAGGCTGGCTGCATCCTTGATCAAAATGAGGATGGTTTTCTGTATAAACTATACGTACTTTCTAGTCTTTGGAGAATATATATATTTTTAGTATTTGTTAATGTCACATTTTAAAAATTCTTACCACGCATGCCAAAATGCTTACACTTTGTACTTATTTTTGGTGGCTCATTGAGATATTCATTCAAAGTTTCCTTCAGGTAAGTCCTAAATTTTCCAACTATATTTTTTCACTAGTGTCATCTAAATAGTGTAATGTATAATACCTTTTAAGTCCTGAATTCCATTTATAAATTTCAAAAAAAAAAAAGTGGGCATATTTTTATTTTCAAATCACTGTTCTCTGGTTTGAACAAATCACATAGTTACATATTGGACTGTATGATTTTTAATTTTAGTTTCAGAGAGACATTTGACTTTCAGTTCCTGCTTGGCTGCTCCGGTTTAGCAATGGAAGCCATTTTGTAAAAAGGGCTGCTGGAAATACTACTTAACCAGACCAAGGCCCATGAAATATACATTTTATACACACACACACACAAATACACACACCATGGCTTTGTTTTCTGTTTTTCTTCCTTCAGATTCTTGAAAGAAGATGGCATATTGAAAATCTACCTTTGGCTTATTCAAATATGTAGTATATATTAATAAAATTATTATAATAAAGTATAGTTACCTTCTTTAAGATGAAACATCTCAATTAGGATCTCCTTTTGGGGGGTTGTATAATTATTACACATTAGTTGTTATTCAGATAATGCCATCTTATGGAGATTTAAGATACAGTAACGAGCTGAGGACAGTTCATCTTTTCCCTCATTTTATATGGTGAATTTAGCTAATTATCCTACGCATGTATTTTATTTTTGTCATATCACCTTGATTTTCAGTGACAAGATATATTATGCACATTAATATACATCATACAAGATGTTCAGTCTGTCATCTCACTAAGGCATGATGTTAAGAAAAAGCATCCAGATTAATAGATATGAAGACATCTAGAAATTCACAATCTCATTGTCAGATGTTTCCCATTTGCTCCATCCCTGTTATGAAATTATTTTGGAAAATGACTTAATTGATTCGATAATATTTTTAGATATAAAAATTTACATATTTATTTTAATTGTCTTGGAAATCTTCTAATTTGGTAATTCTATGTGTAATTCTTAGTTTGCTTTCAAATACAATATAGTGGAAAATTTTTATAATGTCTCTATTTGAGTGCCAGGAAAACAGAATATAGGTTCCTTGATTGGTTATATTTTCTTTGGGGACCCTGAACCACTTAGTGATTGCTTGATCATTTGTATTTGTTGCCAAAGGGAGTGGTCTGTATGAGCACTTACATGGTCTTCCCCAGAGGTGGTGTCGTCAGCCTAGGACCTCTGTCTGTGTGACCTGTTGAGACACAGACAAGAGTGAGGGCGGCAGCCATTAGCAGAATGCAGATTAGACACAGCAGGCTTGAAGGTTATCAGCAAAACTGAAAATCTATTGAACTTCGAAATTGAATATGGTAAAATGAGTCCTGCCCACATTGCATTTTCATGCCTTTCCTAGTTCTCTGCACTGAGACAGTGAACATGGTTTGCTTAATAAATGGACAGGCCATCTTGATTTTACCACATTTACTCATAGTAAGAGGCTGCACCTACCACTGGCTCTAAAATGTGGAGTTTTCAGCAGCCCTCTTTCCCTGTTCTACTAATTTGTAAAACTTTTTCAGGCACAGTTGTAATTTTTTTCAATTGTATCGCACTAATATTATTTTCCATGAATTTGGGAATCTGGGCACAGGATAAAAATCTCCATTATAAACTGTGTGTGTACGTGCAGTGAATTAAGCGCTGGCTATACTTCAAAGATTACTTGAAGGGTGAATTTAGCAATACTGTGTTCTGAATATTATTGTTCAACTTATATGTGGTCTTTAGACTTTGGGGCTTTGGGATTTTTTCTGTTGAAAACATTTGATTTTGACTACTCTACATGCCAACTACATTCCAAAAGGATTTAAGTTAGTATTTCATAATAAACACACCCTTGAACAGGCAATATATAAAAGAATAGTTGAGCAATCAATGATACTAACCACATTAGGAAAATCTATACTTGAAAAAAAAAATTACAATTACGTTCAAATTTTCGCTTGTCTAGTTGCCATAGTGAAGAAGCAAAGATAGTGAATCCTGAGTCTAGTAACCTAATGAAAGAAAGCATACCAGTTCATTTTTTCCCTTGTTCTCAATTCTGAGAGAAATTTATGACCTGAATTTGTAATATATAGGACACTGACCCTATAACTCACTATGATCTGTGTTTGTGGAAAGATTTGAAAATATCGTTTAGGGAGAAAAAGTTAAACTCCTTAAGTATTTTCATACAGTGCAATTTATAGACTTTATTTTCATGTGCTAAAATTTCCTTTGTTTTTGAAAATGCTAAGACTGTCCACATTCAGAACCACAGCTGCCTTCACAAATTTAATTTTGTAGGTATTATGACTTAAAATAAAATATATTTTAAGTCATAATCCTAGTTAATTCTAGTATTTATTATCCAGAGGACTGCTCTGGAACTCCTTACCAAATGTCTCAGAAACTACTAAAAATTTGAAACAAGGCTGAGGTTAGAAATAGCTTTAAAGTTAGTCCCCTAATATTAGCTTCCAAATGTGTTAGTCTCTTTCTTACATCTGATTGTTTTGTCCTCTTGAGTTTATACTATGGAAAACTGTAAGAATAATAAAATCAAGTGGTAATTTGGCCCAGGAGTAAAAGATGTTTGTACTTATGCTAAAATGGTTTACATACTTCCTACATAACCAAAATAGTACTTCATCATCAATATTTACTCGTTAGTATCATTTTCTTGGTACTGAAGTGGTAACTTTTTTATTTTTCTGTGTCAACTTTAACTGGTAGCTTGGAAAACCTGAACTGTGTAAACTCCATTTCCCCCCTACTATAATGAGGCTGTTGCTGTTAATGTAACCCTGCTTTTTGTTCCCCTCTTCTTCCTACTGACACCCACAGCCACATCAGAGTGTTGTCTGGCACA